TAGGGTCAGTACTTACTGAGATATGAGGCTGCAAAGGTGGCACTTAATGCTCACCTGACGGCAACATTGAGTCCTGCCGCTTGAGGAAGTGTTGCTGATACACCATTTTTTCTCATTTTTATATTATTTTATATAATTTTTATGTTCTGATAATTACAATTTATTGTATTTCTTGGCATTTCATAATCAATCTCTGTACTGACACTAATACTGAAATTGTACTCAAATTGTCATAAACACATTGACAGGTGGACATTTACACCTACCTTGGTCATTTACTATTGTCTAGGAATATATACAAAGTATTTATAGGTCCCAGCAATGTTTTGGATACACGGGAGTATAGAAGAAGAAGGAAGAAGGAAGGAGGAGGAAGAAGGAAGAAGCTCCCTTGAAGCAATGTGACAAGCATCCAAGAGGGCAGTGATGAGATATGGGATGATATCTGATGGGCTCCAGCAAGGGTGCAGAGATAAGAGGAGATAAGCTATGACATTTGATGGGCGCTAGCGAGGGTGCAGAGATAAGGGATGACATTTGATGAGCTCGTATCTCTGTCTCTGATTATCTAACTCTCTGTCTTGTCTCTCTGTCTGCTAGTCTCTTTCTGTCTCTCTGCTTGTGTGTCTGTCTCAGAGAGAGCCACTGTGAACCAACAGGTATTCATATGCATTATATCTACAGGCACAGTATAGCACTTCGGATTTTTTAGGTTATCCTAGGTAATTTACACTATGTATAACTGTATTTGTGTGTACCTGTGAGACATAAAAAGAGACAGATAGAGACAGACAGAGACAGATAGAGACAGACAGACAGAGACAGATAGAGACAGATAGACAGAGACAGACAAAGCCAGATAGACAGAGATAAATAGACAGAGATAGAGAGAGACAGACCTTAAACTTGGGGTTAACATCACTTTCCTCTTAAAAGGGGAGTGTTAATATGACATTACATCAGTGAATCCTTGGTGTTTGCTGCACTGTTTGCTTGAGCTGGCACTCAATTTAACTGGCACTCCCACAAGGTATTAAGAGGTCCCAGATTTTTTTAATATGGTGCACACTGAGTATTAAGACCCATTATATGCTGACCAGGCATCTCAGGCCAATCATGCCAAATTTGGAGGTGGGAAAATTAGAACGTATATATACGTTTGGGACGATTACGGTAAGAACGTACATATACGTTTGGACCGTTTAGGGGTTAAATGAAAGTGACCTGGCCTGACTAGGCTGGGTCATAGGCTTAAGCCGTAGGAGACTTGGACCTGGCTCGCATGGGCCAGCAGGCCTGCTGCAGTGTTCCTTCTTTCTTATGTTCTTATATTATTGTAACCACGGATGAATGGTATTGATCAATAACAACACTGTGCTAGCCAAAGATTCGAACCGAAGTTGTAATGGCCTGGCTCATGGTAAGCAAGAGCCACATGACACTTTAAACCACAGGACCACCCAACCCTACAAGAATGGTGCAGCCAGCAGAGCTAGCTGTTTTGCTGCCATCCGAGGGCATACGGCGGTGTGGGAGCTTCTAAGTTAATTTCATTCTCATCCCTGTTTGGTGTACTAGCCTCACGAGCAGCATATATATATTATCGTAACCACGGACGAGTGGTATTGATCAACAACAACACTGCGCTAGCCAAGGATTCGAACCCATGTTGTACTGGCCTGCCTCATGGTAAGTGAGAACCACATGACTGCTTTAAACCACAGGACCACCCAACCCTACAAGAATGGCACAGTTAGCAGAGCTAGCTGTTTCACTGCCATCCAAGGGCATACGGTGGTGTGAGAGCTTCTAAGCTAATTTCATTCTCATCCCTATTTGGTGTACTAGCCTCACGAGCAGCATATATATATTATTGTAACCACGGATGAGTGGTATTGATCAATAACAACACTACACTAGCCAAGGATTCGAACCCATGTTGTAATGGCCTGCCTCATGGTAAGCGAGAACCACATGATGCTTTAAACGACAGGACCACCCAACCCTACAAGAATGGTGCAGCCAGCAGAGATAACTGTTTTGCCACCATCCAAGGGCATACGGTGGTGTGGGAGCTTCTAAGCTAATTTCATTCTTATCCCCGTTTGGAGTACTAGCCTCACAAGCAGCATATACATATATATTATTGTAACCATGGATGAGTGGTATTGATCAATAATAACACTGCGCTAGCCAAGGATTCGAACTCATGTTCTACTGGCCTGCCTCATGGTAAGCGAGAACCACATGATGCTTTAAACCACAGGATTCAGAGAAACCAGTTAGCTGAACTTGAGTCCTGGAGGTGGGAAGCACAATGCCTGCACTTTAAAGGGGAGGTTAAGAATATTGGCTATTTGGAGGGGCATCTAAACTGTCGTATCTGAGCATCTCTGCAAAAACTGTGATTATGTATGAATGATGGTGAAAGTGTTGAATGATGATAGAAGTTTTTTCTTTGTTTCTGGGTCACCCTGCCTCGGCAGGAAATGGCCGATGTGTTAAAAAAAAAAGATATATGTAACTGATAAGAAAGCACACTAGAGGATACAAATTTTCTTATTTTGCATATTACAAGTGTCAGAAAATGATGCCCCCCCCCCTAGCCTCATGCTGATCCAGAAGAAAGCACAGTCTCTAACATAACTTTAAGAAATTACAATGCATATCAAATAAAATAGGACCTTACTGGAAGATGCATGACAGGACATATATTTCTTGATTAGTGTGGAAGTTAAATCTCTGTCATATTGTGGATTTCTATGGTTCTAAGCTACAAACAAAATTCTGGATCACACCTTTGTAAATTAAGGGCACCCTATGTTCGTAAACATCTGTTTCATTATTTGAGGTTGTCATTAGTATGAATATTTATCCAAATTACAGCTATCCATGGTATAGTACAAAACTGAAAATTTACCTAGTAAACATACATAGTAGATGAAATCTTGAGCTCTGCAGAAAAATAATACTATGTACAATAAATTACAATATTTATTGTATATAGTATTTTTATTTCCTAGCAAAAAAAAAAAAAGTAATAAAAAAAGATATTACCAAATTAAATAAGTTACCAAGCTGAATCATTCTGGAGCCTAGAATTTTCAACATATTAATGGGTACCTATGATACAATCTTAAAGAAAATTGATCTATGTATGACTCATATAAAGAGTACAGTGGACCCCCGAGTTTCGTGATTAATCCGTTCCAGAGAGTCTGCCGAATGTCGAAATTGCCGAATGGCGAAACCATTTTCCCCATAAGAAATAATGGAAATAAAATTAATCCGTTCCAGACACCCAAAAATGTTAAATTAAAATATTTTTCAAATTAAATAAAGATTTACATACTGAAAACAATAAGAAATCAAGTACACTGTACATACATATATAAAATAATAATAACATTACACTTACCTTTACCGAAGACTTCTGGGTGGATGGAAGACGGGAGGAGGGGATAGGAGGAAGGTGTACACTATTGTTTGGAAGGAGAATCTCCTTCCATTAGGACTTCAGGTACCAAGTCCTTATCTGGGGTTACTTCCCTTCTTTGTTTTTTAAAGACATTGAGAACAACTTGAGAGTCACTGGACCCCTGTCGCACAAAATATCTGTCCAGAAAGCTCTGTTTCTGGCACTTCTTTAAGATTTGTCTGAAGTGGGACACAACGCTATCATTGCACATGTTGCCAATACGGCCTGCAACAGCTTTGTTAGGGTGAAGTTCATCCATAAATGTGTGCACTTCAGTCCACTTTGCACAGATGTCCTTAATCTTTGAAGAAGGCACCTTCCTCCATCTCTCTTCCTCCTCCTCTGCAGCAATTTCCTGAGCTGTGATCTCTTGCTGTTGCAGATGAAGCTCTTGCAGCTCTTCAGTGGTTAGCTCTTCCCTGTGGTCCTCCACCAACTCTTCCACATCCTTGCCACTCACCTCTAACCCCATGGACTTCCCCAATGCCACAATAGATTCCACAACTGGCATAGGCTCCTTAGGGTCAGCCCCAAACCCTGCAAAATCCCTCTCTTGATTTCCTTCTTGAATTTGATTGTGTTCCTTGCTTTCTTTACCAAAGGGCTTGCACTAGCTTTCCTTGGGCCCATGGTGACTTATTTAGCAGTTGCAAGCACAAAAAAACAATGGATTAGCATTTACTTCTTTGACAACTCCATCTATAAATATGTTAAACAACCATGGTGACATTACACCCCCCCTTCTAAGGCCTACTTTTACCAGGAAATAATCTTTCTCTCTCCTATACACCCTAACCTGAGCCTCACTATCCTCATAAAAACTTTACAGAATTTAGTAACTTACTACCTATTCCATATACTTGCAACATCAACATCTGACTTTTATATAACCGAATTCCCAGGTGCAGTGATCCCTTTCCAATCTGCATGTGACCACCTGTCCATTTCAACACCTACTTAGGTTATCTAACTTTGTGTCATGATAATAAGCTTTAAATATAATAGAATATAATAGGGCTTCATTCAGAATGTACTCACTGGATTTCTCATGCCAACATTTTCTTTGTTTCTGGGCATTTCCTCCTACTCTTACTCCTCCTCTTACTAGTCTTCCTCCTCCTCTTCCTCCTCCTTCACCTACTAGTCTTCCTCCTCTTCCTCTTTCCCTTCTTCTTACCTATATAATATTTATGAGGCAATGTTAAACCCACAGGGGGTCATACAACAATGGGGAAATAGATTCAGTCAGAAATGATTTAAGAAAAGGGAGCACAGGTCTACTTCCTCAGATCGAGGAACCTCCTTGGGGGGATTCTTTTTTATTTATGTCATTGTTAATGAGGACAGAACAATATTTGAAGAAAAATGATCTCTGAAAGAAAATAAGCTCAAGTCTGAGACAAAATTATCATTTCAACAGGATTTACGAGTATTTGTAGATTTTCAGGGACCTCTGGGAATGTAATTCCCAGCAAATCTGTGGGTTTTGATGTTTTATACATTTTCCATAAAAGATTCTTACCAGTTTGTGTACATTTCACATTATACATTGGACAATCTCCAGAATGAGATGGTATGGCACATCCAGAGAAGGTGATATCATCAATGGTGAGATCTGATAGTCCTGCATTTGTTTGGCCTTCAACTTGAACAACAAATTCTCCTGTCCAATCTGAGAAAAAAAATTGAAAATAGTATGAGGCTTTTCAATCAGATCTTGAGAACAGTTAAATTCACTTGCCAAGCTAAATGAATACATATACTCATCTAAATATGTTCCAGCTCTTGGGTCCCTCACCTTAACTATTAACTGAGTAGGGTGATGTTCCAAACCTCATTTCCTTTTCACAGTTGCATTTAGAAGGCAACAGCTATTATCCACCCTTAATTTATTTTTAAGCCTGGCCCTATCTATGATATACTACCCTTTCCCTCCAATGATATGATCTACAACAATCAAATAACACTTAAGTGCTGATTTATTGCAAAGTAAACAGAAGCAGCTGATGAAAAAAAAAAAAATACTTGTCTGGCCTGGGAGTCAAACTTAGGTCTCTTTGGTTATGAACTGTGGGCTTTACCACTGAATCACAGGTCAGCATTATCATACAGTAATATTTATAAGTCAGGTTTCACTGTATTATATTAATAAGAAGACCTGAACATGTTTTAGAATAGAGGAAATGACTATCAATCAGATAAACAATTTATAGCAGACAATGGGAAAATATTGGCATAATTCAATTATTATGAAATTTCTACAGTGAAATTCGTTATACAGTAAAATCTCACACATTGTGCATCCAGGGATAATGTTTTCAGTAAATCTCTATCAAAATGTTAAACCCAAATCCACATTGCACAGGAAAGTAACCAGTCAATCTTGCTGTATTATTTAAGAAAAATAAACATACATCCACTTTGCACTAAAAATCCAGTTTGATCCTGCTTTGGGATATATACCCTCATCACCTGAGGTGAGGTCATTACTTAAGGCCTGGCCTAGTGCTGCTCCTTGGTTTAAGAAGCAACTCAAGCTGTCAGGTGCCTTCTGGAAGTGTCATATCTTACACAATCTGTATTCATCAAACCATTTCAGATCTTTTTATCACCCATCTTGACTGCATATTACCTATGGTAATTTTTTTATGTAACCTCTTTAGATAAATTTGTTATTTATCTAACTGAGTATGTCTCACTACATCCAACTAGGTGTAGTAGTGCCACAGCAAGCCTCTCCACATAGTCCTAGATCAACAAGCAATGTTATTCACTAGCCAAAAAAAATTAGTCTCTTGCATGTAAGGGTTTTTGAAATCTTATGATCAATATTATGGCTATCTAAGATGTTATCTAACAATCACAGTTGTAATATTATACATATATGTCAATCGTGGTGCATGCATTGATGAAAACTAATTTTTCTTAACATAAATTCAGTACATATGTGCATAACAAAAATAAGAAATATCCATATAGTCATACAAACATATTTGCATCACATCACAAGACCGCCACTCCCACGAGCCCCCTGGGGCGGGGATGGCAGACCAGAGGCCTAGCTTCTCCCTACGAGCCCCGTGAGGGCGGGGACTGTGGCTAGGCCTGGGGACACTTGGTCCCAAAGAAGAGGTGGTACTTGTACCTCCTCCCATGGGAGACTTATGTCTCGAGACACTCCCCAGATAGGGAGCCAAGGCCGGGTCACCACTACTTGGAAAAGACCCGGGCCGGGAGAATACCGGCGAATAAGAAAAAAAAAAAAAAAAAAAATTGCATCACAGTTTTCAGGCTTTTTCGCTTGTGTTCAAACTGATTGTCAAGTTCCTGATATCTCTTCTCTATGATGGCTATGTCTTGGTGAAATCATTTACAGTGGAGTTCTTTTCACAGACACTATATGTGTTGGAACAAAATTAAGTGCACAATTGAATTCAGCATCTGAAAATTAGTACGAAACAAAAGTTTTTCAAAATTAACTGAAACCTTTGTTAGCCAGTGTTATTTTTGACAAATGATTATTTTTTTTTTTTTTTAAATTTGCTTGACTTATTTTATGGTGTTACAAACATAACCCTATTTTTCCCCCCTTGTTTTCTTCAGTACATAAATTGCTCTTTCACATAAGGAACAGGATTTTAGATTATGCAAGACTTAATTGTATAACAACATTTTGCAGCTACTAACCTGTGAGAATGGCACTTGCTTGCTGCCACTCATAGTTGCCTTGGTCAATCAGGTAGAACATTGGGCTTACCTGTCCATCTTTGACAACACTTACTGCTACCCGTATGTGCATACCATTATAACTGTCTGAGTACTCACGCACCCTGAAAAATTATAAATATAATACAAAACTGAAAAAATGGCAAAATATACTGAAAGGCTTTCTAAAGTTATAATAAATGAGAATAATTTTTTTTATAGTTTTTTATTAATACGTCAGCATTTCTAACCAAAGCAGGGGGACCCACAAAAGAAGAAACACTTTCATCATCATTCACTCCATCACTGTCTTGCCAGAGGTGTGCCTACACTACAGTTAAAAAGTTGCACCATATCAACACCCCTCTTTCAGAGTGCAGGCACTGTATGTCCAACCTTCAAGACTTAAGTCTGGCTAACAGGTTTCCCTGAATACTTTAATAAATGTTAATCTGCTCATACTCCAACAATATGAAACAGCATGAAAGCTTGCTGAAGCCCCTTGCATACAAAACTTCCTTTACCCCCTCCCTCCAACCTTTCTTAGGATGACCCCTACCCCACCTTCCTTCCACTACAGATTTATATGTCTTCCAAGTCATTCTGTTTTGTTCCAACCTCTCTAAATGTCCTCTGGATAATACTTGTAGAAATCCCATACCCCCCTCTAATCTCCAAGCTATAGATTCTCTGCGACATCTCCACTGCCTCCTCTAGCCTTCTCCTTGTTGCAACATTCACCACCTATGCTTCACACCCATATAAGAGCATTGGTATAACTATACTCTCATACATTCCCCTCTTTGGATCCATGGATGTTATTTGTCTCTACACACTCCTCAGTGCTCCACTCACTCTTCTCTCATCAATTCTATGATTCACCTCATCTTTCATAGACCCATCTGCTGACAAGTCCACTCCCAAATATCTAAATACAATCACTTCCTCCATACTCCCTCCCTCCAATCTGATATCCAATTTTTCATTACCTAAATTTTCTGTTATCCTCATCACCTTGCTCTTTCCTATGCTCACTTACAATTTCCTTCTTTTACATACCCTTCCTAACTCATTCACCAACCTCTGCAACTTCTCTTCAGAATCTCCCAAAAGAACAGTGTCATCAGCAAAAAGAAACTCTGACAATTCCCACTTTGTGTAAGATTATTTTTTTTTTTTTCAACAAGTCCGCCGTCTCCCACCGAGGCAGGGTGACCCAAAAAAGAAAGAAAATCCCCAAAAAGAAAATACTTTCATCATCGTTAAACACTTTCACCACACTCACACATTATCACTCTTTTTGCAGAGGTGCTCAGAAATACAACAGTTTAGAAGCATATACATATAAAGATACACAACATATCCCTCCAAACTGCCAATATCCCAAACCCCTCCTTTAAAGTGCAGGCATTGTACTTCCCATTTCCAGGACTCAAGTCCGACTATATGAAAATAACCAGTTTCCCTGAATCCCTTCACTAAATATTACCCTGCTCACACTCCAACAGATCGTCAGGTCCCAAGTACCATTCGTCTCCATTCACTCCTATCTAACACGCTCACGCACGCTTGCTGGAAGTCCAAGCCCCTCGCCCACAAAACCTCCTTTACCCCCTCTCTCCAACCCTTTCGAGGACGACCCCTACCCCACCTTTCTTCCCCTATAGATTTATATAAATGCTTAATCCCACACTTCTTGCCAACACCTGAACATTCATTTCTCTTACAACCCCCATCTATAAATATATTGAACAACCATGGTGACATCATGAATCCTTGTCTAAGGCCTATTTTTACTGGGAAATAATCTCCCGTCCAACATACTTTAACCCCTTGACTGTTGCAACCCCAAATCCTGAGGCGTCTCCTGGTGTTGCAAAATCCCCCCCCCCCCCCTAAAAAAAAAAAAAAAAAAATTTACTTATGATATGATGGAGAATCTTTTCCCGATTGTAATGACACCAAAAGAATGAAATTTGATGGAAAACTGACGGAATTACGCTCTCGCAAAGTTAGCAATCTCAGCGATATTTATGAATCGATGATTTCGCCCACTTTGAGCCCTATTTTCGGCTAATTCCATTGTTACAATTGACCAAATTCATAGCTATTTCTTTAGAACTCCATTTTGTCTATTAATTGAGTACAAGTAACTGCCCATTTACTGATTTCAACTACCCAGTAACATGGTCAGAAATTTGCAATTTGGCCAATTTCACGAAAATAAAAAAAATATGAATTTCAAAATAGGGTCCAGAATGAACAATGCAGACATTCCTGGCTCTAAAATAACATTTTCTTTGTTCATCAGTCACATCTCCAGGCCCCTCTGATATTACTCTTGCTTTCTATTTTGAATTATTATTCAAACAAAAAATACAAGATTTACTGTTATGCAGACTACTGCAATATTGTAATAATTGTATAAATAATGTCACCCCCATTCATGACTGTATATTAGAATGTCTACTTGGACATTTATTGGACAATGACATCATTTGTTTACTTTTGAACATCAGCAAAAATCAAACATTTCCCCTTCTTTGAGCTCCATTTCAAGGTTGTTTTCATAGTAAAAACCAATCAAAATCACCTCTATTTCTATAATATGATTTCCATTCTATCAAATGAGACCACGAAAACAAGAATACAACCATAAATACTAAATGAAAATAGATCACAAAGTCGGCATTTTAATAAAAAAAAAAACGGTCGAAGTTTTTTTTTTTCATTATGCACTGCATACTGCAGGATTTTTTTTATATGGTGCACACTAACCACCCAGACCCATTCTCTCACATGTGGGCCTACCAGCTTTCTCCTGCTTGATTTGAAGCCGCTAGAATTTATGAGCATATATACATCCAAAAACGGTGGCTCGTAAGATGTATATATACGACCAAAACAGTCAAAAGATTAACCTGAGCCTCACTATCCTCATAAAAACTCTTACATACTTTCAGTAACCTACGATTTATTCCATACATTTACAACATTTGCCACAGTGATCTCCTGTCCACCCTATCATATGCCTCTTCCAAATAAATAAATGCAACAAAAACTTCTCTACTCTAATCTAAATACTGTTCACCTACATACTTCACTGTAAACACTTGGTCTACATACCCCTACTCTTCCTAAAGCTTCCTTGTTCATCTGTGATCCTGCTCTCTGCCTTGCTCTTAATTCTTTCAATGATAACTCTACCATACACTTTACCAGGTATACTCAACAGGCTTATTCCCCTATAAATTTCACTTTGCCTTAATACAAAGGAACTATGCATGCTCTCTGCCAATCCATAGGTACTTTCCCCTCTTCCATACATTACTTAAATAAAGGCACCAACCAATCCAAAACTATATTCTCACCTGCTTTTAACATTTTTGTTTTTATCCCATTAATCCAGCTGCTTTACCCCTTTTCATTCTACCCAATGCCTCACACACCTCTCCCACACTGACAGCTGGGTCTTCCTCACTCCTACAAGATGTTATACCTCCCTGCCCAATGCATGAGATCGCAGTTTCTCTATTTTCATCAACATTCAACAAGTTGTACAAGGAATTATAGTTGGACGTACATGCCAAAAGCCCCTTGTATGCAGAGCATTTTGGGCAGGCTTAAAATTAACTTAAGATTAACTAAGCAATGATATATTCAGTGGTAAAAATTACAGTAAACAAAATACAACATGAAGTACAAATGAGTATTTTAAACAATGAAATTTGAACCTTACAATTAAGGGGCATTATAGTTGTACAAATTTGTAGTATAACAATGTATAATATAACAAAATGATCAATATACTATATCAATATACTATTTGTTGTGCAGAAACAGGTCACATGGTCATTAGATGAGTTACTACGCATTCAAGAGATTGGATTATTCTACAGTGGACCCCCAGTTAACGAACTTTTTTCATTCCAGTAGTATGTTCAGGTGCCAGTACTGACCGAATTTTTTCCCATAAGGAATATTGTGAAGTAGATTAGTCCATTTCAGACCCCCAAACATACACGTACAAAAGCACTTACATAAATACACTTACATAATTGGTCGCATTTGGAGGTGATCGTTAAGCGGGGGTCCACTGTATTAGGTAATGTAATTAAAAAAACATGGTTTGATAGGGTCACAGATTACACTTTCATGAAATACAGTTATTAACAATATTTATTTAGTTGTGGGTAAGTGGTTTTTAAGAAGTCTTGAATTGATAAATAGACAGTGCTTCTTCCTTTCTGATACTTCCAACTTTCCATCTAATAACTGTCCTCTCCAATTTTTAACTGTCAAATCCATTCATTCCCTAGGCTTTCTTCAAATTTTTTTTTTATTCTCACCAAAATTTGATCATAGTATCTCTTTTTTTTTTTTTTTATTATCACACTGGCCGATTCCCACCAAGGCAGGGTGGCCCGAAAAAGAAAAACTTTCACCATCATTCACTCCATCACTGTCTTGCCAGAAGGGTGCTTTACACTACAGTTTTTAAACTGCAACATTAACACCCCTCCTTCAGAGTGCAGGCACTGTACTTCCCATCTCCAGGACTCAAGTCCGGCCTGCCAGTTTCCCTGAACCCTTTCATAAATGTTACTTTGCTCACACTCCAACAGCACGTCAAGTATTAAAAACAATTTGTCTCCATTCACTGCTATCAAACACACTCATGCATGCCTGCTGGAAGTCCAAGCCCCTCGCACACAAAACCTCCTTTACCCCCTCTCTCCAACCTTTCCTAGGGCCCACCCCTACCCCGCCTTCCCCTTTCCCCTACAGACTGATACCCCTCTTGAAGTCATTCTGTTTCGCTCCATTCTCTCTACTGTCCGAACCACCTCAACAACCCTTCCTCAGCCCTCTGGACAACATTTTTGGTAACCCGCAAACCCCCTCCTAACTTCCAAACAACGAATTCTCTGCATTATATTCACACCACACATTGCCCCAGACATGACATCTCCACTGCCTCCAGCCTTCTCCTCGCTGCAACATTCATCACCCATGCTTCACACCCATATAAGAGCGTTGGTAAAACTATACTCCATACATTCCCCTCTTTGCCTCCAAGGACAAAGTTCTTTGTCTCCACAGACTCCTAAGTGCACCACTCACTCTTTTCCCCTCATCAATTCTATGATTCACCTCATCTTTCATAGACCCATCCGCTGACACGTCCACTCCCAAATTTTCTGAATACATTCACCTCCTCCATATCTCTCTCCCTCCAATCTGATATTCAATCTTTCATCACCTAATCTTTTTGTTATCCTCATAACCTTACTCTTTCCTGTATTCACCTTTAATTTTCTTCTTTTGCACACCTACCAAATTCATCCACCAATCTCTGCAACTTTTCTCTTCAGAATCTCCCAAGAGCACAATGTCATCACAAAGAGCAGCTGTGACAACTCCCACTTTGTGTGTGATTCTTTATCTTTTTAACTCCACGCCTCCTGCCAAGACCCTCGCATTTACTTCTCTTACAACCCCATCTTAAATATATTAAACAACCACGGTGACATCACACATCCTTGTCTAAGGGCCCACTTTTACTGGGAAATAATTTCCCTTTTTTCCCTACTACTCTAATTTTGACCTCACTACCCTCTTTAAAAAAACTTTTCACTGCTTTCAAAACCCTACCTCCTAAAACCCAACCCACCTGCAACATCTGCCCACATTCCCCCCCTTTTCCCCCCGGGTCTTACCCCTTTTTTCCAAACCCAAAATGCCACAAAACCTTTTTAGCCTCATCTAAATACTGTTCACTTATTGTTTCACGGGAAAACCCCGGCCAAAAAACCCCCCCCTACCTTTCCTAAACCCTCCTTGTTCATTTTGCTATCCTATTCCCCGGGTCTTACTCTTAATTTTTTAAATAATAACTCAAACCAAACCCCTTTACCGGGTATACTCAGCGCCCTTATCCCCCTATAATTTTTCCCACTCTTTTTATCCCCCTTTGGGCCTTTATAAAAAGGAACTATGAAATGTTTCTCTCCCCAATCCCTAGGTCCCTTCCCCCTTTCCATACATTTATTAAAAAAATTGCCCCCAACCCTCCAAAATATATCCCCCCCCCTGTTTTTTTAACTTTCTATCTTTATCCCATTTAACCCCCGGTTTCCCTTTCCCCCCCTTTTCTTTTTTCCCTACTGCCCCCACGAATTTTCCCCACACTCACAACTGGCTCTTCCCATCCTACAAAGATGTTTTTTTCCCCCCCTTGTCCTAAAACATGAAAAAACTCAGCTTCCCTATCTTCTTTAACATTTAACAATTCCTCAAAATTTTTCCCTCCATCTTCCCAATAACCCCAACCTCCATTTAATTTAAATCTCCTCTCCCATTTTTAAAATGCAAAAACCTTTTTTTTTCTAGGCCCTTTTTTAAATTGTTTTAAACTCACTCCAAAACTTTTTTCTTAAATTTTTAACAAAATTTGTTGATAACCCTCTCACCACTCTCTCATTTGCTCTCTTTTTAAAATTGCTTTAAACCCCTCTCTTAACCTCTCCTTTTTTTCTCCATATTCTCTTCCCCCCTTGCATCCTTCTACTTTTAAAAACTTCTCAAAGCTAACTTTTTCCCCCTTACTACTCCCTTTTTCCCTCATCATTCCACCAATCGCTCCTCTTTTCCCCCCCCACCCACTTTCCTGTAAAACCCAAACTTTTGGGTGAAAAACTTAACACTTCATTTTTTTAAAAATACCCCTCATACCCCCTTAGGGCCCCCTTGCCTATGCTCTCCCTTTGCCCCTCTATCCTCCAAAGTGTTTATATCTTACCCCAACTGCCTCCATTTTAATTTTTAAAAAAAAAAAAACCTTCAAACCCCTTTTCTTCCCGATGCTTTTATTTTTCCCTTTTATCCCATCTACCTTTTAAAATCTTAGTGTAAACCCAAAAAACTAGAAAGTGAACGATATATTTTGTGGGGCCCCCCTATAAACATTTTACATCCTGAAAGTTTTACTCAACATCTTTTTTTCTACTAATACATAATCCCAAAAAAACTACTGTCATTTTGCCCCACATCATATCTTGTTACCCTTTTTTATCCTCTTTTTCTTAAAATAAAAGTATTACCCATAACTAAACCCCTTTCTATACAAAGTTCAATCAAAGGGCTCCCATTATCATTACACCTGGCACCCCAAACTTACCTACCACACCCTCTCTAAAAGCTTCTCCTACTTTAGCATTCAGGTCCCCAACCACAATTACTCTCTCACTTGGTTCAAAGGCTTTATACATTCACTTAACATCTCCCAAAATCTCTCTCTCTCCTCTACATTCCTCTCTTTCCCAGGTGCATACACGCTTATTATGATCCACTTTTCGCATCCAACCTTTACTTTAATCCACATAATTCTTGAATTTACACATTCATATTCTCTTTTCTCCTTCCATAACTGATCATTTAACATTACTGCTACCCCTTCCTTTGCTCTAACTCTCTCAGATACTCCAGATTTAATCCCATTTATCTCTTCCATTCTCTTATTTGCTCTCCTTTTACATTCCTTCACCGCTTTCTTAACCTCTCTTTTTCTCTCTCCATATACTCCTCCCTCCTTTAATCATTCCTATTTTGTAAAAATCTTTCATATGCTAACTTTTTTCCTCTCTTACTACTCTCTTTACCTCATCATTCCACCAATCACTCTTCTTTCCTCCTGCACCCACTTTCTTGTAATCACACACTTCTGCTGAACACTCTTAACACTACATTCAGAAATCTATCCCATACCTCTTTAACCTCAATGCTAATACTCTCACTAGCCCATCTTCTTCCAACAGTTGTTCATATCTTACTCTAACTGCCTCCTGCTTTAGTTTATAAACTTTCACCTCTCTCTTACTTCCTGATGCCATTCTCCTTGTTTCCCATCTACCTTTTACTGTCACTGCAGTTACAACTATAATATGATCTGATATATCTGTGGCCCCTCTATAAACATACACATCCTGAAGTCTACTCATCAGTCTTTTATCTACCAATACATAGTCTAACAAACTACTGTCATTATGCCTTATATCATATCTTGTATACTTATTTATCCTTTTTTTTTTAAATGTGTATTACCTATTACCAAACTCCTTTCTATACAAAGTTCAATCACAGGCTCCCTATTATTGTTTACACCTGGCATCCCAAACTTACCTACCACACCCTCTATAACTGCTTCACCCACTTCAGGATTTATGTCCCCCAGCACAACTACTCTCCCTTGGTTGCAAACATCCCAAACACTTGCTTAACAGCCCTCAAAATATCTCTCTCCTCTACACTCCTCTCTTCTCTAGGTGCATAAACACTACATATAACCCACTTTTCACATCTGACCCTTATGTTAATCCACATAAATTCTGGAATTTATGTATTTATATTCCCTCTTCCCCATTCCATAACTGAACCTTCAACATTACTGTTACCCTTTCTTTAGCTCTAATTCTCTCAGATGCTAATGACCTAATCTCATTTATTTCTTCCCACTGAAACTCCCCTACCCCCTTCAGCTTTGTTTCACTCAGAGCTAGGACATCCAACTTCTTTTCATTCATAGCAATGGCAATTATCTCTTTATCATCTGTACGACATCCACACATATTCAAACATCCTTACTTATTTTATTGAACTTACTTTTCCATCCCAGTTCTTTCCCTCACATCTGTCTTCTTAATTTTCATTCTTACTTTCCCTTACTTGTGTCACTGGTTCCACTTAGTGGTATTTATTTGGACATAACTAACAATCTTATATTAGAGGAATAAATTAATAATGATGCACTTCTTACCAGAAATCCATGGTGCAATCAATATAAGCATTGTGATGCGTGTCTGTAAGCATAACAGCAGGTCCAGAATGGTCATTAGAATATTGTGCAACATAGATGTAGTATCCAGCATCTGTTCCCAGAGTATGATCATAGATGTTTAAGTACTCATGATCATTACTTAGATTATGTCCTCTTGACCATATATAATCATTTTCAATCTGGAAATTCCATCCACATGTACCTAAAAATAAAAGTATTAAATAACTGGTAATAAGAGAAATAGGTGGTACAAAGAAAGGTGGCTTCTTATGGTAATCTTTTTCGTTCGTGACCCAATTTGATTGCTGTAAGCAATGAGCAGATAAGGAAAATTTCTATAATAGTCAAACTAACAAAAAAAATAAAATAAAAATGAAAATTATTAAAAAATAAAAATTAAATAAAATAATTATAAAATCGTCAAAAAATAAAAAAAAAATTATTCTCTGAGAAAAAGAGCTCTGTTACAAAGAGTGTATTCAATTACAGGCTTAAATAATCTTTTATTTCTTATTATAATGTTGGTGAAATATTGTACTGGGTCCCTTGAGTAGATGGTCTTGATTTATAATTAATTTTGAGTTAATGATTTTCCCTCATAAAGGAATTTAGTTTTGAGTTGCACATGAAAAATATAAAATACCCGGTTCGTGTATGTTGGTAGGTAAGCATGGGTGGGGCTTAGCCAATCTGTGATACCGTTTAACTTGCCTTTGGGCAATGTAGAGCTAATAGGGGTGTCAGTGGGGGGGTTGGTTTAGTGCCAATCCACTACAGGAATGTGTATCTCTGAGTAGTATTCTCTAGCCAATTGCAGTTTGAAGCTATAACCACCTCTGCCCACTCTAACTCTGGATAGTTACCATCTCCATAAACTGCATTTGTGAATTTAATTTGTTATCTTTTGTGTTGTTACTAAGTAATTTACAGTTATGACTGAAGAATTCTGAGGCTCTGTGAGGGTGATGTACAACCAGGAGGACCATTGTTCTTGCGTGGAGGAATTACGTAATTGTATATGGACCACAGACAGGAGTTGACTCAAACAGAAAAACTCTAGGAATTAGTTGCAAGATAGATAAAGAAGGATATAAGTAGAAGGTTGGAAGATAGCAACTGCCCAAGGAGGGGGTACTACCATCTTGCCAAGTGCCAGTGTTAAAACAGAAGCTTGTAATTGTTTTCATGATGGGTAGGATTGCTGGTGTTCTTTTTTCTGTCTCATAAACTGCAAAAAATTTCGGTAAGTGTACTTCTACTTACACTTAGGTCACACTACACTTGCATGTACAGGCATATACAGTATATACACACTCCTCTGGGTTTTCTTCTATTTTCTTAATAATTTTTGTTCTGGTTTATTTCCTCTTATCTCCATGGGAAAGTGGAAGAGAATTCTTCCTCCATAAGCCATGTGTGTCGTAAGAGGTGACTAAAATGCCAGGAGAATGGGACTAGTAATCACTTCTATATACATCATTAGAGTTAAAAAGAGAAACTTGTTTTTCTTTTTAGGTCACCCTGCCTTGGTGGGATATGGCCAGTTTGATGAAAAAAAAGATAAGAAGGATAGTGGGGAGGAAGAAGTTGAGGATAATGACCATAGGGTAACAGATGCAGAAACTGTTTATTCATTGAGGCGTAAAAAGAATAATGAGAAAACACCCTGTGTCTTTGGAGATAATGTTTTAATTTTTTTAAGAGCCTTAGAACAAAGCAATAGAAACAAAGAACTGTAGACAGTTTTTTCAAGAGGCAGCAGTTGGAAGGAGCTTCTCCTTCCATCCGGCAACCTTCTCTCCATCCTGTTCCCCCCCACCACCACCATCTCTTGAAATCCAATGAAAAATCAGAGTTGCACTTCCAGGGTCTTTTAACAAATTTCCATAACACCATGTATTTTGGGGTTCAAGTTATAATAGTTTTGAAGTACAATACACTGTCTAAAATGGATTAATATTTTAACTCAAGAGACCACTGTATTAGTAATAAGCAGATTTACTGTACAAATTAGTAACTGATATATTCCAAACCAAGATGGTAAAATTATGAAAAAATTCAGAAGACAAAAGCTAAAAACACATTAGATATGATTAAAAAGAAAACAACATAATTAAGCTTGTATTATAATGATCATATGGTACTTGCAGTTATGAACATACCAAATTCAAAATTACAGTCTCCACAAAACATTTCATCATCCCCGTTCACACAGTTGGGAATGAAATCACACACTTGTTCTTGTAGGATTACTTCACCATCAGAGCATACAAACTGCAATAATTAATAAATATACATCATAACATTAGATATATTTGAAATTCATTGGACAACTTAAAAAATCTCAGCACCTATATTCCTCTCTTCATTTCCTTACAGTACCTGTCTACTGTATTTACTGGTAAAGACATGATTACAGTGAAGACCTTTATTTGCATGTTCTGTCCAACAATGGACTATTTCAAATACATAGCAGACTAGAGAAACTAGCTTCATCCCTAATGTAAGTTTTATTAGCTTAACCCTTTGATTGCTGAGATTCCTGCTCATAAACTTGTTCTCAGTGTCAAAGAATTTAAAAAAAATAAAAAAATATTTTTTCTTATGAAATGATAATCTTTTCCCAATGGTAATGACAACAAAAGTACGAAATTTGATTGAAAATTTAAGGAATTATGCTCTCACGAAGTTAGCGACATCGGCGATATTTACGCATCAGAGATTTCGCCTACTTTGAGCCCTATTTTCGGCTAATTCCGTTGTTCCAGTAGACCAAACTCAGCTATTTCTTTAGAACTCCATTTGTTCTATTGATTGAGTTACAAGAAACTGCCCATTTACTGATTTCAACTGCCCAATAAAATGATCAGAAATTGGCAATTTGGCCAATTTTGCACAAACTAAAAAAGATGCCAATTTCAAAAAAGGGTCCAGAATGAATAGTGCAGACATTCCTGGCACTCACATCTCCAGGCCCCTCTTATATTACTCTTGCTTTCTATTTTGAATTTTTATTCACACAAAAAATAGAAGATTTACTGTTATGCAGACTACTGCATTATTGTAATAATTGTATAAATAATGTCAACCCATTCATGACTGCGTATTAGAATGGCTAGTTGGACACTTATTGGACAATGACGTCATATGTTTACTCTGGAACATTGGCAAAAATCGAACATTTCCACTACTTTGAGTTCAATTTCTAGGTCTTTTTCATCATGAAACCAATCAAAATCATCTCCATTTCTGTAATATGTCTTCATTTTATCAAATGAGACCAAGAAAACGAGAATACAACCATAAATACTATACGAAAATGCACCTCAAATTCGGCATTTTAATCCAAAAACACAGTCAGAGTTTTTTTTTTCTCATTATGCACTGCGTGCTGATGGATTTTATTTTACACAGTGCACACTGACCAATTCTCTCACATGTGGGCCTACCAGCTTTCTCCTGCTGGTAGGTTCACTAGAATTTTGGAGTGTAAATACGTCAAAAATACTGGCTCATAAGACATACATGTAGTATATATAAGACCAAAACAGTCAAAGGGTTAATATACTATAGAATAAACTAAATATTCTTCTCATGTACCTTGCTATGATTTTATCTGATGCATTTACATTTGAGTCATTTACTATGAATATCCTTAATATCTTTTTTTTTTTTTTTAACATGCTGGCCACCTCCCAACGAGGCAGGTCACCATCAATCACACTATCACTGTCTTGCCAGAGGAGTGCAGATACAACAGTTTAGATGTCCCTCTAAACAGCAAATCTCCCAAACTGCTTTTTTACAATGCAAGCACTGTACTTCCCACCTCCAGGATTCAAGTCTGCCTAACCAGTTACTATACCCTGAATCCCTTCACAAAATATTACCTCGCTCATACTCCAATAGCTTGTCAAGTCCCGAAACACATCTGTTTTCACTCACTCCTATCTAACATGCTCACGCATGCCTGCCGTACATCATTAATATCTTACATACATTTTTTTTTTTTTTCAACAAGTCGGCCGTCTCCCACCGAGGCAGGGTGACCCAAAAAAGAAAGAAAATCCCCAAAAAGAAAATGCTTTCATCATCATTCAACACTTTCACCACACTCACATATTATCACTGTTTTTGCAGAGGTGCCCAGAATACAACAGTTTAAAGCATACACATATAAAGATACACAACATATCCCTCCAAATTGCCAATATCCCAAACCCCTCCTTTAAAGTGCAGGCACTGTACTTCCCATTTCCAGGACTCAAGTCTGACTATATGAAAATAACCGGTTTTCCTGAATCCCTTCACTAAATATTACCCTGCTCACACTCCAACAGATTGTCAGGTCCCAAGTACCATTCGTCTCCATTCACTCCTATCTAACACACTCACGCACGCTTCCTGGAAGTCCAAGCCAATTGCCCACAAAACCTCCTTTACCCCCTCTCTCCAACCCTTTCGAGGACGACCCCTACCCCTCCTTCCTTCCTCTATAGATTTATATGCTTTCCATATCATTCTATTTTGATCCATTCTCTCTAAATGACCAAACCACCTCAACAACCCTCTTCTGCCCTCTGACTAATACTTTTATTAACTCCACACCTTTTCCTAATTTCCACACTCTGAATTTTTTCTGCATAATATTTACACCACACATTGCCCTTAAACAGGACATCTCCACTGCCTCTAACCGTCTCCTCACTGCTGCATTTACCACCCAAGCTTCACACCCATATAAGAGTGTTGGTACTTACTATACTTTCATACATTCCCTTCTTTGCCTCCATAGATAACGTTTTTTGACTCCACATATACCTCAACGCACCACACACCTTTTTTCCCTCATCAATTCTATGATTAACCTCATCCTTCATAAATCCATCCGCCGACACGTCAACTCCCAAGTATCTGAAAACATTCACTTCTTCCATACTCCTCCTCCCCAATTTGATATCCAATTTTTCTTTATCTAAATCATTTGATACCCTCATCACCTTACTCTTTTCTATGTTCACTTTCAACTTTCTACCTTTACACACATTCCCAAACTCATCCACTAACCTTTGCAATTTTTCTTTAGAATCTCCCATAAGCACAGTATCATCAGCAAAAAGTAACTGTGTCAATTCCCATTTTGAATTTGATTCCCCAAAATTTAATCCCACCCCTCTCCCCAACACCCTAGCATTTACTTCCTTTACAACCCCATCTATAAATATATTAAACAACCATGGTGACATTACACATCCCTGTCTAAGACCTACTTTTACCGGGAAGTAGTCTCCCCTCTCTTCTACACACCCTAACCTGAGCCTCACTATCCTCATAAAAACTCTTTACAGCATTTAATAACTTACCACCTATTCCATATACTTGCAACATCTGCCACATTGCTCCTCTATCCACTCTATCATATGCCTTTTCTAAATCCATAAATGCAATAAAAACTTCCCTACCTTTATCTAAATACTGTTCACATATATGCTTCAATGTAAACACTTGATCTACACATCCCCTACCCACTCTGAAACCTCCTTGCTCATCCGCAATCCTACATTCTGTCTCACCTCTAATTCTTTCAATTATAACCCTACCGTACACTTTTCCTGGTATACTCAGTAAACTTATTCCTCTATAATTTTTACAATCTCTTTTGTCCCCTTTCCCTTTATATAAACGGATTATACATGCTCTCTGCCAATCCCTAGGTACCTTCCCCTCTTTCATACATTTATTAAACAAAAGTACCAACCACTCCAACACTATATCTTCCCCTGCTTTTAACATTTCTGTCATGATCCCATCAGTTCCAGCTGCTTTACCCCCTTTCATTCTACGTAATGCCTCACGTACCTCCACCACACTTACATTCTGCTCTTCTTCACTCCTCAAATATGGTATACCTCCCTGACCAGTGCATGAAATTACCGCCTCCCTTTCTTCCTCAACATTTAAAAGTTCCTCAAAATATTCTCGCCATCTACCTAATACCTCCCTCTCCCCATCTACTAACTCCCCTACTCTGTTTTTAACTGACAAATCCATACTTTCCCTAGGCTTTCTTAACTTGTTTAACTCACTCCAAAATTTTTTCTTATTTTCATTAAAATTTCTTGGCAGTGCCTCTCCCACTCTATCATCTGCTCTCCTTTTGCACTCTCTCACCACTCTCTTTACCTTTCTTTTACTCTCCATATACTCTGCTCTTTTTATAACACTTCTGCTTTGTAAAAACCTCTCATAAGCTACCGTTTTCTCTTTTATTACACCCTTTACTTCATCATTCCACCAATCACTCCTCTTTCCTCCTGCCCCCACCCTCCTATAACCACAAACTTCTGCCCCACATTCTAATACTGCATTTTTAAAACTATTCCAACCCTCTTCAACCCCCCCCCCCCACTACTCATCTTTGCACTAGCCCACCTTTCTGCCAATAGTCGCTTATATCTCACCCGAACTTCCTCCTCCCTTAGTTTATACACTTTCACCTCCCTCGTACTTATTGTTGCCACCTTCCTCTTTTCCCATCTACCTCTTACTCTAACTGTAGCTACAACTAAATAATGATCCGATATATCAGTTGCCCCTCTATAAACATGTACATCCTGGAGCCTACCCATCAACCTTTTATCCACCAATACATAATCTAATAAACTACTTTCATTACGTGCTACATCATACCTTGTATATTTATTTATCCTCTTTTTCATAAAATATGTATTACTTATTACCAAATCTCTTTCTACACATAGCTCAATTAAAGGCTCCCCATTTACATTTACCCCTGGCACCCCAAATTTACCTACTACTCCCTCCATAACATTTTTACCCACTTTAGCATTGAAATCCCCAACCACCATTACTCTCACACTTGATTCAAAACTCCCCACGCATTCACTCAACATTTCCCAAAATCTCTCTCTCTCCTCTACACTTCTCTCTTCTCCAGGTGCATACACGCTTATTATAACCCACTTTTCACATCCAATCTTTATTTTACTCCACATAATCCTTGAATTAATACATTTATAGTCCCTCTTTTCCTGCCAAAGCTTATCCTTCAACATTACTGCTACTCCTTCTTTAGCTTTAACTCTATTTGAAACCCCTGACCTAATCCCATTTATTCCTCTCCATTGAAACTCTCCCACCCCCTTCAGCTTTGTTTCACTTACATATATTTATTTATTTATTTATTTAGTAATTTGAGCATACATACAGAGGTACAAAAAAATACAGGTAAGAGCAGCATGCCAAAGCCACTT